AAGTTATAGATCTATTCTACAATAAAACTATTTTGTAAAGGTTAGAATAATGGCACTGTTGGTTTTGAGGACTGAAATTGGTATGTCGTTTTTACTATATGTACATCTTGAGTGAATTACCTTGGCATTGTCATTAAAAAACGTTTGATGGTGGCAAGCATTGAGGTTCAAGACTCGCGTTTTTTCCTTTCCAAACTTGTCAGTTGGCTGTGCTTACATCTATGCTGATGTTCACACCATAACTCAAACCCAGTGCCAATATCTAATCACGCTTAAAAGTAGTAGTTTGAAATAAGTTACGGAAATGAAGTTGATTAAGCGGTAACACAAACTCTATTCTAATAGTGTAGCCAAGACCATTAGACTACAAGTACAGTAAAACAGGATTGGATTGATGCAACTAGCTTTCGGGGCTAAGAGAAGCTTTTCGAAGATTTAAGAGGATAATGACAAGACTCTACAGTTAGATTTTAACCTTCTTGAAATATCACTCGTTCATGTTATCATTTCCCAGCCAGGTTATCTGAACTCGGTCTTATCCCAGCTCTCATTAATCTGTGCTCATTTTCCACTTTATGACACAACTAATTACAAACACTATGGTGAAATATGGTGTTCCTTATGTCTTCAAGAAAATAAAGACAACTACGTATATGATGCAGAAATTAGAAAACAAAACGTCCCATTAAAATGCATCGTAAATTTTCCTAGTAAATTCAAATATCTTCGAGTATGTTGGACAACTGTATTGAGAAATTTGTTGAAATACTTCTGATATTAGTACATTTTATTGATGAATTATCATGTTCATGGTACATGTGTTCAACTAAAAACCGTGGATAAAGTTCAGATTAATCTATCCGTATTCATCATGGGTGATACACTTTTGAATAAAAATATAGGCCAGGAGTTTTACTCTCTATCCATCAAAAATGTCGATATTTATTTCGAAGTGTGATATCGAAAATACCTAATATGTAACCTCTCAAGTATCTAAACAGCTGATGTCCGTTATCATACTACTTGTAACTTGTCAGTAGTTAACAATTTTCGGTTAAATTCTCACGCACCACACGACTGTAGGAATCTGTTAATAAATCTTTTCAGTAGACAAAATAATTAGGTTAATATTAGTGGATATAAACCCATAGTTCTTAGTGGATAAAGTGACCGAATGTCCGGATGGTTTGGTCGACCGAACCATCCAGCTCAGAGAACAAAACTCCACCAAAATCATCCACCTGAGATACAAATCTTTTCCACCATCTCTTAAACAACTGATCATTATCATTTTCGCTCACAAATCAAAAATAGAAAATGCAGATGAATATTTACTAATCATTATGAAATTTTCATCGCCGAATGTTGAAATACAAGATGACAGTTACTCGAAAACTTGAAAATATGTTGTTAGATGAGAGATCAATCACAAAAAGATTGGTATTTTTGATAGACTTAGTAGCTATGATCTATGGTCATTTTGACTGAAAGTTGCAATATTCTCCCGTTGGATCACCTGTGTGTTAGCTTCTATTGATGATCTGGTTTTAAGAGTGTTTCTGGTTAATTTCCTACACCTTGTTTAGTCAATAACATGCGTCAGAAGACGAAATACACTAATTAAGTGTAAAATGTTTGAGTATAACCCAGAAAAAGACCAAATGTATAGTGAGCGAAAAAGTTATAAAGCTTAAAGATAATCTGTAAAAGTTCCCAGTCAGTCCTCAGACACACAAACAATAGCTGGAAAACATAAAGTTGTTAAAAAACGTAAGAACATGTTTAAAGTTGCATGAAATGAGACTACTACGAATCCAACAGATGGAAATTTAGGTGAAAATGAACTTAAATTGCTTATATAGGATCTAAATTTTAATACAAGCAGTAAAATTGGGCATCAAAAATTTACTTGTATTTAGAGACTTTGTTATTGGTATTCGTATGTAAGATAATAAAATGATAGTTGGTTTTGGTGCTTTTTCCGAATGTACTAGTGTCTTTATTAAGAAATTGTTGGATGTTATGTGTAATTCTTTATAAATCAACACCGATTTAAAGTTTCATTTAGTGTTAGGTCTTTTTGAGATTACGGAAACCTGTTAATTGTTTACATTCCACTTTACTCAAATCTGGAAGAGATTTTTTATAGAAAAATAGATGTAGAGATGGGGTCAGCAGTTTCTCCAATTCTGGCTAACTTGTTTTACATTCATTAAAAATAAGTGCGATCTGAAAACGTGCTTTTCGACATAAAGTCTTATCACGGTACGTGGATGGTATCAAACAAAATGAACTGGATGAACGTTTTAGATATGGTAACGGGTGTATCAGAAAACATGAAGTTCATCACAGAATTCAAATCTGTTGGTATCGAACTGACATTTTTTAATTTTTTGCCCGAAGTAAACCAATAAACCATTTTAATACTCATTATATCGATGATTAATTTCAAGATTATGCAACCATATAAAAAATGTCGGACACTGAAAAAATAAATAACTTGCCTTATGGACACAGCTAGTCCCAAGATATAGACCCTATTAAGATATATTATTGTTGTTGATACTCAGGACAGTGTTTGACGAATCATTGTTTGCATATGTTAAACGAGATCGAATGCAACTCCGGATCAGTTACGTCTCATTTAGTTACCGGTAATGAAGTCAAGTTTGGGCTTTTCGTAACACTGAGGACTCATCATCTGCATGCGATCGAATTTGATTGACGATTTGCAGACTGTAATTCCAAGTCATTGCCATGTTTGGAAACATAACAAACTGTTTTAATAGGTACATTCAAACAGTAAGTCTGACGTAAGACTGATTACACTGTCTTGAGTTTCCTTGCTACTCAGAACATAACTGACTACATAAACTCAGTCTTACTAACCGATGACGTAATACATGCGAGTGTGACTTCTTTGTTAACTGGCAGTATTATGCCAAAAAAATTATTATTGAAAATAGTTTTATTAATGTACTTTTCGTTAGACATTTCGCATACATATATGACCACGGCAAACATATATTGTTTTTGTCTGAAATTTCCAATAGAAAAAGGAGTACTGAAAATTATATGCAATAGTAATACTAACGAAACTGATCTCACAGCAGAACTTGTCTACGCTGTAAAGAAGTTTGTTGAGATTTTCTGACTTTTTAGTATGCAACACTGTTACATATATGTGTTTTTCCTAGTGGACTGTAAAGCTGTTGGTCACCCGGTAGTTTCTTATTTTCTAAAGTCTTCTTTCAATAACTACGTAGACAAATTACAATCCACATTAAATAAACGTCACACAGTTGTAAATTATTTACTGGTGAACTTATGTGAAAAACAACAAGGAAATTTAGTTAGTGCTATCACGCTAATACAATTTTAACGTTGGAAATTTAGTCTTAATACTTTTATTTATGATTGATCCAAATATAAACTAAATAAAAGTTGTAGTGGTTTTCAGATAGTTTCTTAACATGGAATGACTTATATGTACATATTTCGGCTGAATCCTAAGAGGAAAACGTCTTAAAATAAGATGATAGATAGAGTGATTCCAGATAAGTAGGATCCTGTCTCAAAATTACGTGATACTGAGAAATGTCAGTGTAGTTAGATGATTTATTGACCAATCTAACCGCTTACGTTTGTCTGCAGTACTCTATAATTTTTTGTTGAGAATCATGATTTATGCAAACTCTCATTCTGCCTTTGGCAAAGAGCTTTTTACTCATTCTTAGTCTGTCTGGGTTAAACATTATGAATTGAATGGATTTGTGACTAGATCAGACTCATAAATCGTCATCCTTGTTTTCAGCTGGAGACCCACTGGAAATCAAAAAGTACTGGCATCTGTGCTGTTGCAAGTTGGGCATTTGTTGATACCAGACATAAACGACCCAGAAAATTTGTAAGCCAACCAAATTCAGGTACCACAGTAAACATTACATTTTCAGACCACGAATTCGGAATCAGTAGTCCAAGTTCCAAACTTTAGTCACTAACTGACATATCTTCGCCACGTACCAGTGCCGTATATAGTAACAGTTTCTTGTTTAATACTGAACATCTTGGACTGAAATGCATATAGAAATCATGAGTTTAAACTGGTAGGGAGTATCGAACTATAAACAGACAACTACCCAGTGGTTTTCGATATCCAATCTGATATAAAATCTATCTTTAAACTAACCAAACCCCAGCAGCCAAAAATATATTTTTACATCGACTAATTTGTAATAATAGTCAGAAGCCACTATGCACCATCTAAATTCGTCCGCTGATTTGTATAAATGTATATGCATACTGTTCTAGTTCAAGTATTTTATCATCAACATCCCTTAAAACGATATAGTTTGTTTATAACAAAAAAATAAAACAAATATGTTATACAAGGAGACTACAAATAAATTTTTGTTATCCCTTAAAAACATAATATTGTGAAATTCTTAATACTTCAATGCCAAATTGGTCCTCATTAGATGGCAAATAGATTATATTAATGCTAATGTTATTCACTTAGTTTATACTATTTAACTATTTTGTTGCTTATTTTCATTTAATTAATTTAATTTTTATTGATAATAAGTGATGAATACATTGTGACCTAATGTATACATTGAATATTCGAGATTTTAGAAATCGGTTATATAAACAATAGTGTACACCAATCATTTTATGTACTGCTCTTAATAGTATTGTTATTGTTATTATGCGTTACCTAATTCACCCTGTTTGTATAGTGATATAAAGATGGTCTGATCTAAATTTCGGTACCTGAATATATATATATATATATATATATTCAGGTACCGAAATTTAGATATACGTTTGTGCTGAACTGGATAACAATTTTCAGTTATTTTCTCTTATATTATCATATAAATATATGGGCTTAGATATTAAAGTATAACAAACTTAAAAGGCTTGATTATCTCTCAATCGTTTTACGTGCTGGTTAATCAATCGACCAAATTGTCAAATTAGTAATATATTAACTATAAATGAGTTCTTTCACTCTCATCTGTGTTTTTGTCGTCAACATTTTTGTACAAGGATTGGTCAGCAGTCTGCCTGAAGAATATGAAACTCAGGTGAAAAACTATCCAGACATTATACAATCTAAAGAAAAATGTCTGCCTCAACAAGGCAATTATGAATTTGCAAGTACACTCGTTTGTGATCCGGATGGCTTGTTATCTGTTGCACAAAGTGAGTAAATCTTTTGTTATTAACTCGTCCTTTTACTGATCTATACTGTAAAATGCAATATTCAAGTGATTTTTTATGAACATTAACCGATAAATGTCTAATAATTGATAGCTTTGAAATTGTAAAGTACATCCTGTGAAGTTAATCAGTGAAGTAAGCACTCGAATTCAGAGGGAAAACTGCTTAATAAATTCATAGCAATTTGTAACGAGTGTCAGGCAAATTGTCCTTAATGCACTTTTTTTGTTAACCATTGGATAAAGGTGATACTAGAAATTTATTTTTATAGCATTTATAACACTTTTGTTGGGTGCTTGGAGCTCAATTTACTATCGACATTGTGCATAAGTATCGCACACATTTTTCGGAATTGTATTGGATTGAAAGTTTCTGATTTATATACCGTTTTACGTCAAGGTTTCTTTAAGGCTTTATGAATATCATTTGTTCCACATAAGCTGATATGAGAGCCTACATAAAAATGCGTCATCATGGATGGATTTTAAAAAAGAGAACAGTTAATCTTGTCTTGCTGCTGACAACGTTGTGAACTCAGTTTGATCACTCTTCTCTGTCCTCTTGGTTATCAAATTACTTCGAAACCTATGTAGGTAGTTTTCAAATATTTTATACTTAGACTTTAGCACCACAGATTTAATTTCTAGAGTAAGGAATTTCTGAACGAATGCTTTAAAGCTAATACCATTACTAAACTGAATGTACTTACCAGATCAATATGAATACATAAATTTTCTTTCTTGTATAATTCTGACGTATTTGAGAACTCTTCTTAAGTTTCTATCACCATATATGTTCTTATTTTAAATATCAGAGACTCACGAATTATGGTGCGAACCAAACCACGATCGGTATAGATTACAAAACTGGGGTGCCATTTACTAAATATCTGCAAGTTGTACTATTGTTTTATATGAAAATTCTGATAGCTTATTTTCAGTTTTACATACCACTTAGATACTCTCATTTCAAGTTTCTTTTCACCGAAATTGATCGTCCGAAAGTTTATCACTGATACTAACCTATGTGAGGTTTTATTGTTTTCGATAATAGCAACTTAACTATATTTCACATTCAATACAGACTCTGAACTATTCAAAATATATTATTAACAATTTACACTCAAACCTTGGTAATATTACTTATTTAGAATATGGGTTTTATCTACCTATTAAAAACATGAAATATACGGAAGTATTTTTGTTTTAGAGTTAATTTAACAGAATTGTACATTAAACTGGTTTATACTGCGGACCGAACTTTTCACACAGCAGCTTATACAACATTTGACTGAGTTGTTTGATAGTTGACTAAGAAGCGCGAGCAAAGATTAATAAGATATAGTTATAACTGTAAAGAATATTTTATGACGCTCGTAATGTAAAAATTTACAGATTTACTGTTTGTGAATTAATAAATGATTTATTTACTTCTTACTATCTTAAAAATTAAGAAGGATGAAATCAATATTATGTTGCCTTTTCATCATTGCTATGTATGGTCTATGTATTCTACATTATGCCAAAGAATACTGGTCGTAATTAGAGTAACACCAACTCAAAGTATATTAGTAGTATAGTTTAAATATGATCATCACCAAATGAGTCCTATACATCACCTGGCTAAAATTCATCTGAGGGAAGAACTGTCACTTAGATTCTGTTGCTGTTCAGTTTATCTAATGAAATTATTCTAAGTAGTCTGTTTAGTACACCTAGAATAATGAATCAATCATTTATCAATAACAAGACTAGTCTTGTTTGGACAAAGTATGAAAAAGCTTTTAAGTTGACTTACCATGCTATTAAATCTGATTATTACGATTGCATTAAACAGCTATTAGATAAGGACTATTCTATTGAAATTTTTGTCAGCATGTTAAAGGATCGAACCTCCAGCACACTCAGTAGTATAAAAAAAGCACATATCATGGATCAGTACTAAATAAAATTATAGTTAATTGAATTTTTACCTCCATGGAGCACTTATTAATCAAATATTAAAGGAAATACTTAAATAATCTAATATAATGAGAGTACAAACAAACCAGTAAATAAGCAAATGAGTAAATATGAAAAGTCCCGTCTAAATTTGAACGAATAGTTTCACAATATTTGGGCGCCCAGTTAATGTGAGACATTAAAAAGTTGTTCATACATGTAGTGAAGATTTTATGTATGCTCCAACTAGCAACGTACATAATATAATAACAATAATAGTGTAATTGACTGATATTAACCTTGAGAGTAACGAATTGAATGGTTTATATTTTTCTATTCAATTTGCTATGAATAGTATGACTGATTGAGAATGATAGTTAAAATTGGAAGTTATCCTACTAGCCTACGGATAGGGACAATAATTTTTAAACAGAGGATGAAATGGGAAAGTTTCGTTCGACCTAACTTCACTTCGATTAATGACTGTGAGTCATATTAATAAAACAATCAAACAATATAAAGATCAGTTACTATTACTGATGCTTGGAGAATTTTATTCGCCAATCAATGACATTTGGAAAAAAGTAAAATGTTTCATAAATATATGAATACTAATATTTCTAAATAGTTATAAACAATGGTTTTAACAGTCGCATGTTTTCCTAGGCGAGTTACAGTTACGGCCGAGAACAAATTATGCTGTGATTGTTCACATGTGCCTTCGTTAAGCCACTATACTTGCTGAATGCAGTAAATTTTTCCACTTGGAACACTTTTATAACTCATGGAAACCACTAAATTACTCTGATGATCATCTGCCTTTTTAATACTTGATGGTTATTCAATTGAATAGTGTCATTAAAAAATGAATATTCATTTATGTTACATTCATACTCTTCAAATCATCATATCAAACATTACGAAATAACAAATGAATTTATGTTGGTATAACTACATTAAAGGCTGTTAAATATTTTCTATAAGTATGATAAACTAAGTAGTTTGTTTTTTAGATGGCGGTGCGACAGATATCTGATTTCACCTATTCTTAACTGGTTTCATCTTCAAGTATTGATTTGTTGTGGGCTAACAATGAAGGTTCTCTCTGATGATTCCCATGTTTCCGTGAGTTTCGGCTGAGCGCTGATACCCAACGATTTAAACGGGATTCTGAGCTTATAATTGTCATTGAATAAAGCCAACCGTTTCAGTTGTTGTAACAGTTCAAAATAAATTATATGTTGACAGAGTATGAGAATGAAGAAAATCAGATTTTGTTTGATAAAAATTAGTCTCAATAAACCTACGTGTTTTGTTCAAGCGTTGATTCTCTTCAACGAGTTCCCGCATCACGGAATCCATCAAAAACAAGAAATCATTAGGAAGCTGCTTTTTCCCAGCAAAAAGCTATTAACTAGTAGTACGTACCATAATAACTGTAATGGAAAACAATTTACCTAATGGTTATTAAATTGTGATTTATGGATACAGTGCAATAGTTTTGTGGCTGACCTTTTCACTTATCAGTTCACAGAAGAATTTAAAGACATTTTGTAAAAAAAATGGACTGTTTGATAAAATGTCATCCTTTTTAACCTGGTTCCTATTACTGTGCTGTATCAATGATAACAATCACGAATAACAAATAGTGATCTGAAAGTAAATATTAAATTAAAACATAGGCGTACTTAGTTTGCCCTTATGCTAATTTTTAAGTTAGCTTGTGTTTTAACATAACAAATGACTTTAATATTCCTTTTATTATCTGAAATAAAAGACTTAGTTTACAGATAGGAAAATGTTATGGATAGTGAAATGTATTTAATGATAGTTCTTCTAATTTTTCGATTTCTAGTTAGAAATTGAAGTTTAATAATTCATCTATCGATTTCATGATGATTCAATTTACCTAGGGTAAATTAATGTCAGTAGAGACTACATTACTAACTACTCGGTATATTTTGACTATAATGTAAGATGAATTCTTTTCCTTTGAACTTTTTGGATGCGTTTATGATTAACCTTGGAAGAATAAATAATAAGCAGTGTTCGTGTAGTTGTTTTTTGTACAAATGATTAGCTTGAAATACAGAGTTACTGGGTTATTAGAGAACATTAGGAATTCCTACTGAGTCAATAGAGCAAGACACATTAGTAAACATCACTATTATCAGTTGTGAGTCAATGTCCGTCACAAACTGACTTTAGCTTTTGAGCCATTGAATTTCGGGATGCACTGAACAGCTGTTTCGTTTTAGTTTGATTTGTGCTGGATTCGTAACGCTGATAAATCTGAAACCATAGCGAATAAGTGGTGGACTTTCCTTTGACACTTAACGATTTACTAGCTGCAGTTGTTTCTTGACAAAAACTGTTTCAAAATCATACTAACCACAAAAATGGAACAACTAATAAAAGCAATATTGTTTTGTAGTAGATCCCCATTAGGGTTTACTAGAATGAAGGGTTAAAGGAAAACAAATATCTGAAAAGCAGTATAATAACCAAATGGGTTTGCAGGTTACTGATAATTATAATAATAATGCACGAGGATACTAAACTATTCAGAATAAATGATAGATCGTTTTCACAATAATTTTATATTGAGACTAATCACTCATGTAACTTGTCCTTTTAAATAACGTAAGCGATAGAGATCATTCTTTAATCAAATTGAATTTCTTCAGTTCTCATCTTTGTAAATTGAAATATTTCATCATTCCTTCATGCTAACTTTATTATCAATACTACTACCATTACTACTAATGATCATAGTAACACTATCGATAATAATGAGAGTAGTAGTAGCAATGATAATAGTAACAATACCACAACTAGCTATGTAGTTTACTTGATCAGTACCACTGACTTGTGAACTACCTTGATTGGTTTGCTGTTCGCATTTTCATACATAAATGTAGTCGCTTATTGGAGAAAAGCCTGATTAAGGTCACATTTAAGGTCATTTTCGTCACTTGTTTTAAAGTACTGACTAACTGTTTGTAATAAGAAATTCCTCTTCTGATTGATAGACTTTTTAAACAAAATTCATTTTAGTCATACGTACACATGTTATATAAGTGTTATGAGTATGTGACCCAGTGGTAATTGGTTCAGTGAAGAATGCAATCGAAAGTTATTCACTTCCGAATCAGTAAACGACTGACTTATGATTTCAGCGAATTAAAAATTGGAATAACAAAATTGATCAAAAGAACAGAAATGCATCGAGTAAGAAAGCGGAACCACTTGATGAAAAGCTGTCCCATCCAATTGTGAATACCAACACCATGAATTATTTCATAGAAATAAAATAACTTAACTTTTTTATAAACACCTTGATAATTATTTATTCTTATATTTATTCTAGTCATTTCACAATATTTTTATTATCAAAGTCACTCAGGGTTTATTCACAGTCTTAATAGACCATACAGACAAAAATGGACGCAAACTAGCTAGCCTATGGTTATAATGAGAGTGAAAATATCACTAAACAGTGAGATAAAGTAAGACCTATGAATATGTAACCATACATGTAACCATCAAACAGGATTGTCAATGAGTCTGTTTGTTGTAAATTTGCTCTTCCAAGATTCAAAGTCAAATACAAAATTTAACGCAGAAATTAGTTTTAGCATATTAATTATGGGAGAGATTTTTATTAAATCAGCTAAAGGATAATAATCTTTGAATATTTTGTAAAACGCATTAAATTAAAATTAGTCACAATACATATAAAGTATCTGTTGAAATATAATTACTACTTAATAAAGAATTGAAAGTCGATCTATGTTACAGATAATAGATCTGGGTATCTCCGATGTTGTTTAAAACAATGAACATGTTTGTTAGTAATTAAACTGTAAAATTATGACGACATAAATTTAAACAGACTCCTGTTTTCATGAGACAATTCGTCACATAGATACGGATCATGTGATAGTATATAACTTAGAAACATTAAAACATATTTCCAAAATCACTCAACTCTAATAATCCAAGTAGTGATATTAGGTACTATTTCAATGATTTATATTCAACCATCAAAACGCTTGAATGCACATAAATATGTTCCAAAGATATTACATTACCAATAAATTTAGACTGATTATATGCCGATTATATCACAAAAATATTTATAAGTAGTTTTCGTAAAGAAGAAGTATAGCCAATATAATGTTTCGTCCATTCTATATGTTATCACTTACTTACGCCTGTTACCTCTCGTGAATGAGCATAGCCCATCCATCAGCATTCTCCATCCAACTCTGTCCTGGGTAATCCTTTCCAGTACTATACTATCCCACCTTTTAATATGGATTTATGTCCATCATGCATCACTTATTAATGGCGATTCCAAGATGACAAGAGTTATGACTATGACGGTGCATATTTCATCAATAATTCTGTACTTTAGAATAACTTAACTTCTTATAGCACCTTATAATTCATATTATTAACAACTCTTCAAAATTTCGTATAAATATAAAATAGATAAATCACATCTGTTTGAGTATTGAACTCTTATTTCTTAAACGTTACCTCTCCATTTGCATTAACTTGATTATGTCAAAAATTGTCATGGGTTCTGAAAGACTTTTCAGAATATATAATATTATTTGTCCTCAACAACGCGAAAAGATTAATGTGGTTACTTAAATGCAAGTGAATTGATTTAATTCATTATCACTTTTACGAACCTTCCACACAATGTACTCCGGATCTCAATTACAGTTAAGCATTACCGTAGTCTATTGGATACAAAGTTAAATATCATGGAAAATGTTTGTGTTATTTGGGAATGTAGATCTAAGTAGGAAAAATTCACCGGAGAATAAGGCCTATGGCCTTCTCTGAGTAAGTTCATTTTTCATGCATAATAAACACTTCAATTCTTCCTACATTACCTGTATTCTGATCAATTTACCACACTTATCTATTCTTTCGTAATCTATAAATTTATCATACCTCGTATTTGACTACCTTTCCACGTTATTGATTAAATCTAAGTTATGTTAAACTTTTAGACTATGTCGTTGAAATCATTAGTGATTGGTACAGATGGCTGATACACAAAATGTCCATGACGGGTGTTTAAATAAGTTAAGCAAAAAAACAGACAAGTAGTAACGGTAAATTGAACTACACCTTGCCCCTAAGGAACAGATAGGTTAAGATAAAATGAAAAATTGTAAAGAAACTTCACAAAATACATCGTTTGAAAATTTCCTACCCCTTTTTTATCAGCAAAATGATGTAGAGAGTGTTTTAAGAAAGTGAAAGTATTGTATAGGTTTACTGTTTGGATTTCTTATTGAATTCGCTGAAAAATAAAGTTAAATAAGAACGTCATTTATATATATATTACTAACAACTAGACATGTTTTACCTAATAAACCTAAGTACCTAATAGTGCTAGCAAAATTACGCTTTCCTTGTAGATTTTCTCAATGCACTATCCTAAGTTTTCAACTGATCAATTAAGGTTGGTATACAGTCTCGTGGATTTGAAAAAACTTGTGTTGAGTCACTAGATCGAGATGTGACTGATCTTAGCAGAATACATTTATAAGGATTGATATTGTTCTGGTGTAAAACAGTGAAGAGAAATTTATTCTATTGTGAAATGTGACGACAGTTACCCATTAAAAACCCATTGAATAAGATAGATTTTTAAAACTAAGGGACGATTTAGAAAAAAAAATCAGGTAACAGGTATTATGTCGATAACATTGTTAAAAGTTGAGACTAACATAAACTCACGATGCGTTTAAAATCTAAATAGAGAATGATATGTTCACAAAATGGAATATGTTACTGACTAACTAGTTTTTCTTACTAAATTCCAGTCAGTCTCTTATCCAACTAGTTAATAATCGTGACATTTTTGTTTTGATTTTCTAGTAAACATGTTAAACACCAAACTACATCACATCAGAACATCTGTAAACTTCGACAAACCTAGCTGTGATATAAATAATCCACGGCCAGTAATAGGAGTGGCGATAGTTAAAAAAATAGAAGTTGAGTAAGTTACAAAATTTTTCACCCTCTAAAGTTATTCGTAAGTCAAAGTATTCTGGCCTTTGTTGATTAAATTCAAATTCTAAGTCTGTCGTTATTAATATATATATATATATATATATATATATATATATATATATATATATATATATATATATATATATGCACATGCAGCTACACTGGATTAGAATAAAAGCTATTACCAAATCTTTATGCGAATTCCTTACCCAAAAGTACTATCGAGGAGTAAAATTAGTTCTCTAGTATATTTCAAAGTCATGTGGAGATACAAAAAACTGTTTTTCATTTGAAATTTCTCCCTCTTGCAGGTACTAGAATTGAGAAGAGACTGTGTGAACCCGTTTCTGAAATAAGACCTCAGATACTCTTAGGTAGAGTAATGAAAGCTTAATAAATCTCAAACCATTGAAATGCATATCTGGTAAACCATGAACTCAACATGTCCATTATGTCGTAGAATTGTGAGTTGATGAAAGGCGATCGTGTAGATGGACTATAAGCAGCAATCATAGTTTACAAGCACACGGAGAACAGATTATGAAAATATCAAGAGTTTCCTAACAGAACTATCAAAAGTGAAAGTGATATTAACGTATTAGTGGACGGTTACTTATAGTTGGTAAAAATTAATTCTCTACAACGTCACTTTCTGAAAAAGCCTTAATGTAAATTATATTTTCCTAAAATTTTAGCAGTAGTGAAAATAATAAGGAAATTTTGTTTTTATATGGATGGAGAATCAGTTAGTAGAAACATTGAAGATTCGGTAGTAATATTTACCAGCTTTCTGAAAAGGTTTTAGGTTCGTACACATATACTGTAGAAAATTACAGAGGTCACAAATGGTAAATGAAGCCGATATTATTGAAGTACGAAATGTCAGTCAGCTACAACGTAGGACCAAGCACATATATGCGTCAGTCCAAGTTGACATACCTCATTAGCACAACAAGATGGACACCAAATTCATAGAAGTGGTCACTTCAGGAGTAGTAATATATAAAAGGAAGATTATGCATAAGGATATAGTACAGGAAGAAATAATTAGTTCGTAGAAAGAAAGATATGAAGCAATTTTAATCTCACGGTTTAAGGGACGACAAAGAATGTATACACATACGCCATGGTGATCGATTCTGAGCCATGTCACCAAGACTCTCCAACCATTGGTTACGATAGTCACGCGGACCCAAACCAAGTAGTCTGCATCTACCGACATGGCTGAGGCCAGAAGTTAACGACTTTATGGATTAATGCCACGTTTTGATTTGGCTGCCTCCAACTTTATTTCATCCGTCTCCAACACTAGTCAGCATTGCGCGCCGTGGTAGTTGGTGGTTTGGCATGCGCAATACGTGGCCATACATCTCAGTCGATGAAGATTCACACAATTAAGACGACGAGAACGTTATTTACAGCAGTCTATGTTGGAATTGAACAAAAATGGAGATAGTGGATAGTCTTATCAGACATCACTTAAGGTTGCAAAATCACATGACAATTTGCCATAAGCTCTGACTTGACTAGTAGTGTTCGAATAAAGAGCCTCCACAAGGTTTACGTACTTATGAGGTACACCTTTCAATGACAAGCTGCCTCTCGGTCTATCGAGTCGAATGTTGCTTTTAAATTAAGAAAACCTATCATTGTCGGACGCCGACAAGCATGCCTGTGTTCTAAAACCTGACGAATGTTAAATATCTGGTCGATGCGGTCACGACTAGGTTTGAAGCTAGCCTGGTTTTCTCGTGTTGGCAGTTCACCAGTCTTTGTTAGGCGCCCGATAATTATTGAGGCTAGTATTTTAGATGGTATGTTAGTCAAACTAATCCCTCTATGGATATCACAGGATGATTTTGACCCCTTCCTATGTATATTGGGATTATCAGTGATTGCAACCAATCAGATGGGGTTACATCCAACTCCTAGATCCTAGTTAAAATATTAGTCAATCTAATCGCTAAAACTAGACCACCATTCTTAAAGACCTCACGAGCCAGTCCATCTGGACCAGCTTTTCTTCCTCGTTTCAGATTAGCTATAGCTTTTTGAACTTCAACTAGGGTGAGGGACCCACTTCATTGATCCATTCAGAATGTTTGGGAATGGTGAGTAGTTGTAGAGTAGCTGAAGGTCAACTGAACTGCACCTTAAAATGATCCGTCCATCGTTCTAAACGTCTAGGCTGAGAGCAGATAAGAGTGTTGTCTTTTTCCGAGATCGACTAACACTTGATTTCTTAATTCCAGTTTCTTTTATTGGTTGGAAAAGCTGTCTTGTGTTCCCGACAGTCGCTGACTTTTCCATCTCTTTTACTTTCGTTGCCTTGATTCATTTTCGCTCTTTATTGTGTCCGGAGCCTGATGGGATGAGTTTATGAGTATCTATCAGGGCAATAGACTTAAAGGAAATCCACTGGTTTTTCGTAACCCTTTGGTTGAAATCACTAGTAAATGTCACTGCAGTTTCCACAGCTGTTCGTGTATCTTTCCAAGCAACATCTGGATCAGTCTCGTTTTTAGAACTACCTAAGTGTGACGTCAGTTGTTGCTGGAATCTACTTCTGACTTCCTCGTCACTGAGTTCAACTCTGATGTGTCTTCTTAATGTAGCTTTCCTGAGTCCAGTGAGGTGCACGCAAATGCGTGCTTGTATTATAGCATGATCTGAGTCCAAACAGGTATTCCAGAAAGAGCGACAGTCTTCTATCGAGCCTCTCCAACGATGACTGATGGCAGCATGGTCTATTTGAGTCCATCGTTGGTTTGATGCTGGGGGTCGCCATGTTAGACAATGTCTCTCCTTATGCTTAAAGTTAGTGCTTGTTAAAAATAGACGATTATCTGAGCAAATGATCACCATTAAAGCCACCTGCTACGAGCACTATGTCCGAGGGTTTAGCTTTCTGAAGAAATCCCGAGTTTTCCGTGAAATTCATCTTTCACTTCATCTGAGCTGCAGTCAGTGGGAGCGTAGACAGAAACGACAAAAAAGCAACGACGTGTGTCCCTATCCTTCCGAGTTCTTACGGAGCCATTTGACCGAACGGCACATGAACGACTGTTAACGGGAATCCATTTTAAAAGTGCTTGTTCTGCCCTCATACTTAGTGCTATGCTTACACCTGCCAGTCCAAGAGAACTAGTCATCGAGTTGTCAGATACACGGAGGGTGTATCTCGTCGGCTCCACATTTTGGCGAAGTGATGTCAAGTGAATGACCACACTGTGGTCCTGTATGCGTGTTTCGGAGACACAGCATACGTCAATGGTACGAGATTCTAGGGTTTTGGTAAAGGAGGCCTGCTGGTCTATTTGACATAGAGTGAGTACTTTGATGGCTCCAATGTGTAGTTTGGAGAGAAGTTTCAGTAGACCTGAGAGTGTTTCGCGAACTAGAATCGTTGACCATATTGTAGAGTTGAAAGTCGATGTAGGAGGAATAATAGGAATTGAAGAGGGAGATTGATTATGAGTACGGTTATCTTAAATGCTAGAGGTATGAGGGCGGTTATCACTCAATGGTTGCGCACACCGTGGAAGAGTTATCTAAAGGGACCTGGAAAAGAAATTGGGTGATCTCAGTGACCCGAGAGTGTGGCCGCAGTGCCCAAGGGACAACTGCTTGAGGCCGGTCACACACGACCTTTTTGTGTGAAATTTTCGTGTCACCTCCGTACTTGTTGAGACCTTACCGCCGGAGACGGACATCCGTGGGATAAGGTGAGGAGTGTATTTTTAGGGCCGACCTTCTCTAACCCCACCTTTTCTTGTGGGAAGGCAGCATCTCTGTTATGCTGGTTGTCTGAAGGAAACATCTCATTGCCATCACAACTCTGTACAGTCAACAGTACAAATTCATCCTCGGATGTTGGGTTTGCTGCATTTAGTCTAACACTCTTCTTCCGACCTGTCTGGCATTGTAGGACCTTGAGGAACAATTGTTCCATCCAGTATAGCTGAATGGGTTCATTACGATAGGTAAGCCCGACCACTACGTTCAGATAGCAGCAACGGTCGGGGATTAAAAAAGTGTTTAAAGGAATTTCTATTTTGTTAAGAGAATAAGTGTAATTCGAGGACGTATAGTGCATTACTCGGTAATGTCAACTACTACAATCTGAAAACGTTTTGCAAAACACATTAAAGTAGTCTCACAAATATATTCATGTGAACCGTTTTTAAGAACAATCAAGAACATTAGGTTAAAATCTGGTTCAATAACCATTTATCATAGGCCTGAATCGAAATGTTTTCTAATAAACCATATATTCTGGGGAATCAATTAATGTAAGGTAATAGTGAAAACAAGATCTGCAAATTCAAAAATATTTTCTCTGGGTAATAGTTCCAATGACAAACATTGAATAGGATCATAAGAAAATGGAAGCGATCATAGATACAAACTAGTTAACTGAAGATTTTTATCTGATTGAAGTTGACCTAAGAAAACATTGGGAAGGTTTGGACAAATAACATCCTTATTTTTCGGTCTTGGTTTTGAAATTCAGATAATACAACAGTAATCCAACATATAGAAACACAGGAATTTTTAGTATTTGCAACTTGCTCAAGTGTAGTAGAAGTATTTTTACTTGATTATTTTCATTTTTGACTATTACACTAATTTCGGAAGTAAATTCATCAGGATTGGCCTATGTAAAAATTTGTTCATCACTAGGATAATTTAAATCGAAAATATAGCACTATTATGATTCGAAAAAAAAACCGAAAGTCACTGTGTGTTATGCCTTATCTCTCTGTCAATTATCACGTGACAAAATCGCCAGTCAGAGCACTGACATACATGAAATTGTCCCCATGCTAAACCAATGATGCGTTAACAAGCACGACCAGTCTCAAGTCAATTCCGAGTCCTTATTGGCCCTCTGTATAGGCAGCCTCTCACCTAACCCAGCCCATTCAGTCCAGAACACAAATACCAGCCTTTGCTGTATGAATCGTATATTTCAGACATACTCGGTTTATATACAAACAGACCAGAGTACATCATAACATAAAATGAAAAATAATAATCATACGAGATCAAACCAAAGTGGCTGTAAGTGGTACCGTAACTGATAAATCGGGAATAAGTTAAGGCTGGTAAATCATATTGCAACAGCCAATAGGTTAAATGAAAGCTTATGGTAAAAATAATATGAATACACATATAATCTAGTTACTTAATAGTTATCCCATAAGAATATATGTAATAACAGTTCACAATTCCTAGCAATTACCATTCTTTATTCTTCTGATATAAAAAGTGAGTAAACTACCGGTTGAATTTTTATGTCGTTTTTTTCGTATATTTTGCTCATAAGTAATATGGACAAGGATCGACTATTGAGATGTGCTGCAATATTCTCATATCGTTTATTCGATAAATGGAACCTACCATCTCATTGTCATTCTGAATCTGGTAAAATTATTCTGTTATACTCGAAAGATGATGGAGTGGTAAGTTATTTTAATGTCATCACATAGTCGATCATCATTTTTATCACTATCGCTTTTATTTTTACAGTAAAGTTTTAAGATTATTGTCTTGAGTGAATAATGTTTCCAGAAAACGGTGTTAGATGATAGACGTCAAGTAGTTATCAATTCACAATAAGACCTCGTACTAATATGTAGTGTTCTCTAGCAGCATATTTAAAGTTTTTGTATTTCTTCAAATATAGAAAGCATGTTCCAAATCTTTTGGTTACTGTCGTGAATTATTTTACCATAGATAATGAACAGTTATAGATTTTTAATATTCAATTCATAATATTTTGCTGCATTACTGAAGTGCATCTTATTCTCATGTGAATCTACTGTCAGTAAAGACCATGTAAGCCATAAAGCTACAAGTATTTTATTAGCAGCAAAAAATAATATTATAAACTACCTAAATTATAATTGTATAGTTTATCCTCAGCAAAGCACACGTATTTAATGCTAGTTTAGTTTATTACTTCACATTTTGATGAGTGAGCTTATTAATGTCCACAGTATGCAACTAGATCTGATGAGATAATATTACACATTGTATACATAATAGTAGCCCATTCAAGTTTAAATGTGTTGGATCATTTGTCTAAGAATTTACTTGATATTCTAATGAAGAGTGAATAACAGTATGATACTGATTAATTACTGGATTAATATGTTGAATTTCTTTAGGATTTATCCGATATGATGTATAAATAAGATGAGATGAAGTAAACGACAACTTGTATTTAAATCATAGTATAAGATGAGCAGCACATTTTTATGAAGAGATGCAGTCATCATTTCTCAAACATATTATCTTAAATTTGTGCTTCCAAGTGTCTTTACCTTATAGAAACCTCATTTGGAAGAAAACATAACCTTTATGAATGACCTGTGGTGGACCAGACAAATATGAACGCAAAAATTATAAACAAAGTTACTAAAGATAAATAGTAATATTAATATATACAGTTAATTGTTACAAATACAATAAAAATTAGGGACGTTACTTAAATTGACCCGACGTTGCGTGTTCTGATTAGGTCCGTTGAGCTACTACATAGCGTGACATATTCTTGCCGACTAACAAATACAAATAGCATTGAAAACTATTTACAAAATAAGGTTGTCAGGTCTATCTCCACAGACCTTATGAAAAATCAGTTTATGAACAGTTATCTGTTCAGTCTATAAAAATACAAATATGAATCTGCCATACACAAAACGACCAGTTTTACACCACAATTATATTGTATTATAAAAGCCTCGTTTATAACATCCTTATTTTCAAAATAAGTTAAAACACAAAAAAATTATTTCAAATAAAAGTTGATCAAAATACCTGTCTTACTTCGCGTTAGATATTTAATGTTTTCTTAACTAATAAATCAAATCTTAACTTTCATCACAAGTGTAAATGATTGGAAATTCTAGGTCTTTGTCTCAGCATTTAGGTTAAATGTATAGAATAACCTAACTCCAGACACTAAACAGGACAAATTCCACTAAATAAAATTAGGTGATACGATTTATCGTTACTAATTAAATCTACCACCATCTCAAGTAATATATATTAAGGACACAAAGTGCTTCTACTCATAATTATTAAACCCATGGTAGTGTAGCCCGAGCAGGATAAGTCATTTGGTGAGATTGTGAACGAGTATAATATGGAATGGCTAGGATATACATTGCTCAAACCACAGCTTAACTTGACTTGCGGAACCTGAGATAATAGTTAAAAGGCCTTGTAGTGACTATGATAAATTTTACAATTCCGGTTCGGGATCTTCATCGTTGAAAAGAACTAATGAATGGAATTCTCAGTGACATATATCTGGATGGATAGTGGGTTAAATGCATTTCTTAAATATCTCCCCAAAATTTATTGTACCTAATTGTTGTACTTGTTCATGTTTTGTCACTTCATATGCTTCCTGTTCAATTGCTAAGTTTCATTTTATTGAATTTCTAATGGAGTATTAAAAAGTAATACCATTTACAACTGTACATTTTGCTAACGTTTTCGTGTTATAAAGTTTCTTTTTAGTTAACTGTGAGCTTGCTAGTATTTTTTTCATAACAAAAGCCGGTCACTAAAAGAATTGAGTGCTTGGCTCAGTTTTGAGGATGGTTTAGTAGTATTATACCAACGTAAAACATTTTTGTGATTCTCTACATGATATCATGGTTCGCCGAAATTCTAACACAAGAAATGAATCTAAAAAGCAATACCGTGATAACCTTTGTGTTACATATTCTTGAATAACACTTAAACTACAGTTGATTCACAGAAACGTGCAGTGTAACTAACTTCAACCATATGTTAACGAGTGAAAAAAGATTCAAGTGCTACACATGATCAGATATATACTTTATTAGATTTAATTATTAAAGAAAATAGTGTCAGATAATTAATATCTGCATCATATCCTAAATGGACTTTCGGAAAGACAATCAATGAGGGTTTGAATAGGCGGAATTAAGTTATCAAAAGTTGAAAATCATTTCTCCCTATTACGTGATATATAGCTAATGTTGCCATATCTATATTTCATTCAAAGTATATCTTGTCACTTCAGTTATATCGGGAAATTATTGTGGATTTGAGGAAGTATCAAAAGAAAAACTTTGAGGAGTATCTGGCCAGAGCCTTAAACAAGTATTCCAAAATTTTCAAGATAAAGGAAGTAATTATCAGTCAAGTTTGAAAGAAAATGGCAACTTTGGATAGTCAATAAAGTTACTGACAAAACTTTGAGAATTTTAAAATCAAATTATCAAAATGAAAAGGTGTATCCAGCTTTGAATTTTAAGACTTACTTTGTCTTAATAAATCCATATATATAACTCCGGTATATTTCTGCCTGTGGCTCTTAATGTCAGGAAAGACATTAAAGAGCATTCTACATATAAGTTGAACAAACTTTTTTCAGTGGATTGTGAAGTAGTAGTAAAACAGCAGCTTGTTTTACCTATTTTAGAAGGATACAGCTAAATAAATCAGCAAGTTCGAAAGTAACAGGTCTTACCAAGACAAATTTACGGATTATTTCATCATGTTCAAATGTAGGTGCTTCTAATCATAGTAATAATTTCCGCCATTCAGATAACAACTGTTTCATACTTAGAAATATGAAACTAGAACACGTCATTTTTATGCTGCAAGAATGAACTAATTTATACCATTTACGCTTTCTTTCAGTTATATACAATCGCTGGGAATCTGCTGAGACGAAAACTTACAAGTAAACAAATCATAAACATTGCCATACGGTCTCGGGAACAATTTTCTACCAGTATAAGTGACGGTATTGCTTATATCATAGAGCGGTATAGGTAAGTGACAAGTATATTGAATTTATTACATCGATATTGGGAAAAATTCTAACAAAACAACAGTTCATTATTATCCTTGTATCACGATGAGGTACTTCAAAGTTACGGACTGTCTTAGCCATGATTTATGTATTGACGGATCAATTTAATCAACACATGAAACATAACGCTTAAAATTAACTAAAAGTTACTATTTGGTTTTTTTCATCATCATGATAAATATTCTATTTCGGAAAACCAGCTATAGATATTGTACAAAAACGTCTTTTCATACAATTTTTAGGCATGATTTCCCATATAGTCCCATTTATTTAAAAAGAATTCGTGATCCGAGAGTAAACTAGGTATTCAGCACACCTGAATCAAACACGTGAAACGTTTTTGCTTGTTTCGCCAAATATATCGTTTTGTTACTGTTAGCATTTAGCCTTCAGAAACCCATAAGGAAAAACGAGTCCTGTAGCATTTTCTAATCTTAATTGTTATTCTATCAACAGGCTAAGTTTAGAAATGGAATGCATTCGAGAGATATCTGTTTGTCAATCGCTGATGCCATCAACCACATAACTCGTCATTAATTCTTTTTTGCTTGGTAGGACAGATGATCAAAAGAATACACCCACATCATCATAGGTTTGTTTGGTCCAGATCAGTAAAACTATGAGTCAGATAGTCTCCTTTGCCTAGTTTTTTCGGGGAAACCAAAATGACTGGCTACTGTATATTTGGTCGAAGAGAAAAGAACTGACTTTTCGCCAACCTTTTTCATCATTGGAGAATGCATAATCTAAGACGATAAACAGTTTACTCAACTCAGATGCAAAGTGAAAGTCTTTTCTAGGCATAAACTAAGGCTCTACCTTCAAACATACAAGAGTTAGTTACTTCATTTGAGGATGGAATCGTAAAGTCATTACATGAGGTGATTATGACCAAGTGATTAGGGTGTTGTGTGAATGTTTGCAGAACATAAAGCTTATTAGAAACCGAATTTATTTCCTGATAGTTTTAACTTTCGTCAGTTTCACGATTAGACACCAATACAGAACATTTCCACTAGATTAAAGTACAAACCAATGGTACCAGATAAGTTTCCACTTTGATTTACCAGCCATAAGAACGTTTTTTATATGATGCTATTGAAATGGTACATGTAGAATGTAATCACTGAAAAAATCACTTTTTACTCAAGCTTTCAATAAACTTTTTGTTGAAAGGCGTAGGCTGAATGAGTTACTTCCAACAAGAGGCACTAGCAAAGTTTGACTTAAAGCAGAGTAAAACAAACTCCAAACAATTAACTAAACTATGATTGTAAATGACATCTTAAATCATACAAGAATACTACTTTTTCTCTTTTAGGGAGGCGGTTGAATCGAGATCAGCGGATCTCTTTGACAAAGCCAAATAACTCAGAATCTCAAATTCTGATTTGTTAAAGCCTCATGATTACGATATGTGCTGTTTAATTTCATTTTTATGCATGTTTTACCATTCCTCCATATTATTAGTTCATTTAAAACTTTATTCTTTAGATTAATTTAAAAATAAATTTGTAATCAATTCAGCACAGTAATATTTGTTGGACAAAAGTTCGGAAGAGTGATTGAGTTGCAGGAAAAAAACTCAGAAAGCATAAGCAGAAATCCCAAGCACGGAACTTTATAAATTATTAATAATACAAATAAACGAAATTAGTACAAGCACTAATAGCGATAAACATAAGGATTCAGGAGCACGTAAAATAACACATGAATTTTATCTTTGTGCGTCTTTTTGTGAACTAAATAGTTTTATTTTGAAACATTTGCAGAACTTCGTGATAACCCGCAGAAAAACTTTGAAAGTGCTCAAGGTAACTATAATCATACATAAAAACAAGACTAAAGGACTGAATGAATTAAAATATAAAACGGCATATGACTTAAACCAGTTTGTACAAAGACCAAGCATGACTGTGAGAGATAAAAGACAAGACAACACCACACCAGATGCAGCATGAAAAAACCTTCCATTACTATAAGCCAACAAACTTCTCCAGAGATTATAGTTAAAGTGAAGCACTAAACCCATAAATAGTTGGAAAACAGAGTAAAATACTGTGACTGCACCTAGAAATCCGTGCCATGTGGTGAAATGCGGTTTTCCGTCTAATATTTTGTTAGCATAAATTCCAAGAAAACCAATGAAAATAAATAGTACTGAAAGGGACTCGAGTATCCAGTGAGCTTTTATCTGTAATTAAGATACAAAATAGAAAATGCGGTAAATATTTAAATTTTCAGCATGGATTTCAAAAGTGTAAAATACAGTAGTCACTTCAAATCATATTAGGATGGAAAACTGTGAACTCTTATTTCAAGATGAAATATAGTCCCCGGGAGTCTGAGATAGAACGTTTATTAAAATGTCCCAATAACTAAGTCATTAGTAATTTTCAAAATACACTTAAAACAAAATACAGCTTGTTGTTTCTATCCTGTATTGCCATTATAGTGTGGGAATTCGCGCCATAGCACATCTACGTCAGACCCTCGGTTGATGATGTCTCTTTGGTGAGTAATAAGTGATTTGAAGAACAGTACAAAATCTATGGGTGTTAAATGAGAGTTCAGCAAGGTTATTCTAAGATTTGTTCGAAACAACAATTTTGGAGCTTCTTGTTATTTTACATAGAGATGTTTACGCTAGGTGTGTGAAGTTAAAACAAAAACACCCCAATTTATTGTTCAGAAAGACTGAAAAGTAAATTATCATCGAAAAATTCGATTCTTATATAGCACGTATATTGTATGACCTTCTTGGAACGAACTAGCTGTGATGGTATCGTACTTTGCCGATAGGGTTCGTGGTGTAGGTCACTAGACTCAAAATACTGCATGAAATTTTTCAGCTTTATTTCCTGTAGCCTTTGTACTACTATTTTGTTCGCCCTAACGTGGTAACTTGACTTATGTTCCTAGTTACGTCAGCAGTTGTCTTTAAGAGGATCCTGGAAGATTATAAATATCCTTCGATAATAACATTAAATATGCAACTACACCTCTAGTCGAAATAGAAGATCCTGATAAAACTGTCACCGTTCCACGTAGTCCAGGTGTGGCTGTCCTGAGTGGTGACAAATGGACTTCAGTAAGGAGAAAAAGAAATGGAAGAAGAAGACTGTGGGCAAAACGCAGCTGGTCAGCAAGGCATTGGAAGGGATGTTATCAGAAGAAAAGTCCTCACTGCGTGACAAGACAGATCTCTCTGAGAGATCAGTCATTTTTCATAAGATAAGAGAATCTTCAGATACTGAACCAAAGGCAAGATTTGAACATATTAAGACATCATTAAGTAAACTACTCCCAGATACAGTTTCAGGAGTTAGTATTTGTAAGCTTTATAGAATAGGAAAAAAGGTGGATTCCGAAAGTCCTCAGAAAAACCGCCTCCTAAAGGTTACATTCAACACGGTGGAAGAAAGGAACCTGATTCTAAGTAATTCACGTAAACTGATTGGATCCGGAATATATGTCCGTGAGGACCTCAGCCTAGCTGATCGTATTAAGAGAAGAGCTGCAGAAGCGGAAATAAACGAGCGTCGCCGAAACGGGGAAAGAAACCTCGTTCTTAAGGGTTTTCAGATTGTAAAAGTTCGGAGCAAAACGATCCCCAAGCCACTCTGGGTGGCAAGGGAAAGCTCTCCACAGACTTAAAAGTGTGCTACACAAATGCTCGCAGCCTACTAAATAAAATGGCGGAGCTGAAGTCAGTGGTGGACAAAGAAAAACCGGACGTTATCGCTGTCTCGGAAACTTGGTTAACGTCAGAAGTATTAGATAGTGAAATCCAATTGACTGGTTTCATAACCAGTAGGGCTGATAGATTAAACCGAAGGGGAGGCGGGGTTATTCTGTACACCAAAAGTACCCTAACCATAAGATTAGCTGAGACAGTAGCACATGTTTCAGGGACATGTGAACTGGTGAGATGTAAGTTGAAATGCCGAAGGCAAGATATTGAAGTAGTTGTAGTTTATCGCAGTCCAGAATGTGTAGCAGATGATTTTCTCCTTAGTAAACTTAAGTCCTGGTGTAACAACGGTAAAAGCCTTGTAGTAGGCGACTTTAATGCACCATATATAAACTGGGTTAACTTAGAAGTAGGGTCATCCATATCGTCGTTCGACTCCAAACTGTTAGAAACCTCGATTGGACTAGCATTATTCCAACACATTAGAGATCCCACAAGATACGACTTAAGAAACTCTTCTCTTTTAGATTTAGTCTTCACACACGGTGATGACGTTGGTCAAATGGCTTTTCTCCCACCACTTGGGAGAAGTGACCATGCAGTCATCTTATTCAAATTCATGGCTGAGATTGCTTGTCAAACAATTGCGCCGGCCCGTCCTAACATATGGAAGGCAGATATGCAGGCAATTAACTCCGCAGCATCGGCTGAGAACTGGGAAATCGACTCAAAGGCATCAGTACAAGAGGCATGGACTCTATTCAGGCAGTTATACAATCGGGTAACTCAACCATACATACCCTGGACTGTCCCAAAGAAAAAGAAGCACGGACATCCCTGGATAGGGCGGGATATTCGACGCTTACTAAGACAAAAGAAGAAATGCTGGGATGTTGCCATCCGCCTTGGCACAGCGGGTACGATGGAACGCTACAGATCGATAAGAAACGAGTGTATAACTAAAATTCGGGAAGCGCAAAGAAAATATGAAATGCAGCTGGCAGAATCTGCACTCAAGCAGCCCAAGAGGATATTCTCGTACATAAACTACAGAACAAGGATTCATCATTGGATTCCCAACCTAATTAAAGTAGGAAGTGAATCTGAAATGATAGAGGAAGATCAGGAAAAAGCTGAGGTTATGGCTGACTACTTTGGGGCAGTTTTCACTCAGGAACCTCCTCTAGAGAAAGAACCAGACCCAATTACAGAGTCAACAAACCAGCTGCTCACCGTGGACTTCGACCAAAACGATGTGCTTAAGGCTCTTAGCACCCTAAACATGGAGAAGTCAACAGGACCAGATGAACTACACCCTAAAATCTTGAGACATATTGCCCAATATATCGCAGCCCCACTGACTGTGATATTCAAAATGTCACTTGACCAAGGTGTGTTACCTATGGACTGGAAGGACGCAATCGTCACTCCCATACATAAAACAGGTCCAAGACAAGTTCCATCAAATTACAGACCCGTAAGCCTCACCAGTGTTGTAATTAAAATACTGGAAAGAATAATCAAACGGACCATAACAGCATTTATGGAAACCAATAACTTGCTGAACATGGCACAACATGGTTTTAGAAAGGGTCTATCCTGTACAACGAACCTCCTTATAGCTAGGGAGCTCTGGATTAATGCGCTAGACAACGGAAACTCAGTGGATGTTGTCTACATAGACTTCAGTAAGGCTTTTGACAAGGTGCCAACTAATAGACTGCTATTGAAGTTGGCAAACCTTGGTATTGCCGGACCTCTTTTAAAATGGATTAAGGATTTCCTAGTAGGTCGTAGGCAAAAAGTAAGAATAAATTCCAAGTGCTCCATCTGGAGACCAGTACTTAGTGGAGTACCCCAAGGTTCCGTCTTAGGTCCTTTACTTTTTATAATGTACGTTAATGATCTTACAAGTATAGTACAGTCTCCAATGTTATTATACGCTGACGATGTAAAAATTTGGCGAGTAATAACTGGAGACAAAGACGCATTTACTCTTCAGGCGGACTTAAATAATATGATAAACTGGTCTAAAGAGTGGCTAATGCCTATCAACTCGGAAAAGTGTGTCTACATGCACTTGGGGGATTCAAAGGTTAATACGTACAACATAGGGGATGTGTCATTACCCGTAGTCCGGTCTCATAAGGACCTAGGGGTGACAGTGAGCAATGATCTTAAGACGACGGCCCATTGCCGGGAGGTCGCAGTTAAGGGGTTTCGAACCCTCTGGGCTTTAAAAAGGACATTCACTAAGCTTGATACTACCATGTTCACCACATTATACACATCCTTAGTGAGAACTAAGTTAGAGAACTGTGTTCAGGCTGCAAGCCCCTGTTTAAAAGGTGACTCGGACATACTATAAAAAGTACAGAGGGCAGCTACGCGTGCAATTCCGGAACTCCGGGGTTAATCATATAAAGAGCGGCTTGAAAAACTGAACCTCTTTACTCTGTCCTATCGCAGACTAAGGGGAGATCTAATTTTGATGTACAGAATACTGAGAAATGATTTCGGACCTAACTTATTCTCTCTCTTTCTTCCCACTAGATCGGGACACCTCAGAGGACATAGCAGGCGAGTAGAAAAGCCAAGAACGAACAAAATACCCGTGGCATACAGGTTTTCACACCGAGTCATCAATACTTGGAACCTGCTGCCTGAAGCAGTGGT